AAAGAATTAGAACACACACTCACCCATACACATAGCGAGAGACCTGTGAGTCCGGATGGTTCCATTGAGGAAGCAGGATCTTTTGTGGGTCTGATCATAGAAGGGGGAAGTCCCGCAGTCATGTCTCTGTCTAGGGCATAGATGGTGTCGTCATCATAAACTTCCTTCGAGGCCCAAAACTGCAAAATCTTCTTTAGCTGAGACTGATTTGCATCTTTGTTTTGAGGGTTGTGATAAATTCTAGCCAGCATAGCCCCAAGAACTGGTCTAAAGGCGAGGGCCTCATTGTCGAGTTCTAGAGGATTCGTACGCCTTTGTAAACTGCAGTAGAAGACACTAAAACTGGTGCGAGTATTTCAAATCAAGCATTGAATGACTCCTGCAATGAAATAAATAAAAAAAGCCTCAATCTAAAGCTTGCAATTTAAATAAAACAAAAAAGTTAATGGACGATTCAAGCTCAGAGAAACCTTGTTTCCAACCAAAAGCTGTTCTTCGACAATTGAAGAAGTATAGAATCAGATCAAATCATCAGGGAACACAATTTTCTTGCATGTACATGACAGTTCCAAAGGCGCAAATTTATGGACTGACACAATTGCTTACATGACAAATAGAAGAGGCAAATCTATTCATGGGTAAAGGAATGGGCTCAAGGCGAGATGCGCCACAAGATGACATCTTGATTTCGATTCCCACCATTGATAAGGGATGCAATAGATTTATGTAAAATGTCATTAAAAGTCATCATGGCTTCTTCCCCATAAAGAACAGAAGCCACTTACCTGAACTTATATTCAGAATGGAGTGCAGAAGAAGCACCTAAAATAGGAAAGCTATGAGAAGTGTGGACTTCATTCAGGTTGTATCCACTTCTAGTCGTGCAAATAACTTGCAGGGGTGTAGTCCAATTGCTCTACTTAGAAGTTGTGACATAGTATTGTACAGATATGTCTCACTAGTTCTGCCCCTGTGCCATTCCGTGATCCACATTAACTGTTTTAATTATTGATGGTGCCTCCCTTAGGTGCATGATTTGTATGTTCACATGGTTATTCAGGCATATACTGACAGCAGTATTTAATTATCAATTATTTTTGTCACTTCCAAAAAAACCTCAATGGGAAAGCTTGTCAATGTATTGCCAACCAGAGTTTTCAGTCTCTGACAAACTACTGAATGCTAGCTCATCTAATACGCATGACAAGGAAAAAAACAAACTGCCCCTTTCTATTATACATGACGGGGTGATAGTAAAGTCTTGCCAAATACGTAGAGAGGCATGATAATAGTGATCAGTAATGACCTAAACAAGTTCAAGCGACAAAATCTGAGGATCTGAAAGAACTTCCTAATCCAAAATAAAAGTTTTCTTTGTGTTGGTGCCATCTAAAAGCATTAGAACCTGTTCTAATTACTTAAGAACTAAGAAATAGGTGACCCACCATCTGGGATACAAAACTAAGAACGAGTAGAGTTATCAAACAGTCAAAAAACATGGTCTTGTTGAACACACCTAAAGGGCAGAGTTACTTTACAGATTAAAAATAACTCTTGGGACATCCTATTTCAAGGAATCCACATTAGAACATTACCCAAACCAGTCTCCAATCATGGCCCTATACTTACTTGACTCAACCGTCACCCAATTTGGCCCCTAGACCTTACAGGTTCGTAATGATGTGGCTTGTGAATGGTAGGATATACAGCCTAATTTCTCAATGGTTGTCCTCCTTTGTGTTTCAAGACTATGCAAGAACTTCCAACTCCTGTAAGAAACTAATGACCTGGAACCAAGAACACTTTTCGGCCACCTCCCGTTGAAAAAATTGTCCCACTCATCTATTATCAAAGATATCGACTTGCTTGAGGATGTCAGCTACCTGAACCCAAGGGAGAGAGCCATTAGAAACACTACTAAGATCAACCTACAAATTGCTTCAAGAAGGACGAGACTTTCAGGCTTCAAATGCCGCAAGATCAAATGGTTAAAGGAAACAGAAAAAATGTTCTTCCATCAAATGGCTCTCTATAGGAAAGGAAGCAACTCTATCTTACAAATTAAGGTAGAGGGTGCACATTCGAAGACCACAATGACATCTGTCGAGTGATAACTTTCTTCAAAAATATTTTTTCTGCTAAAAACATCGTTTGACCAAAAGTTGCCATTATTGAAATCCTAATCAATCTCCAATGCGTGGTCGGCCTGCTTAGGGCAACCATTCTATGAAAAAAGAAGTTTGTAGAGCCATCCTCGAGCTAGGCCATGACAAGGCACCTGGGCCCGATGTCTGCCCAGTAGAGTTGTTCCAACGAATTGTGGTACATTGCCAAGACATTATGGACTGCTACTCTGAGTTTTACGAGAGGGGCATCACAAACAAGGACATGAATGCCACCTTCATCACCGAGAGGAGATCAAAGACTTCAAATACAACTGTCTAATCCTACAAATACTAGCCAGTGCAGACCTCCCAGCTACCCAGTACCTAAGCCAAGTAATGTTGCCTCCCCAAGGTGACTTTGCGCAAGGAAGGCAGATCCTTCACGTGGCTCTAATTGTGCACGAATGTATTGACAAACGAGCCCAATCCAACTCGTCAGAAATCATTTCAAATTAGATTTTGAAAATCCCTACAACCGCTTGAATTGGGACATCCTCAACTAAATTCTATCTTTAATAGGTTTTGAAGCTAAATGGAGATCCTCCATGCCAGAATGCCCCCTCCTCTGAGCACTTATAGATAGTGTTACATAGACGCCGACGTGTGTATCGTGTCCAGTGTGTATCTCAAGTGTCTAGAACTTTGGCCCAAAAACCCAATATGTCCTCAAAATGTCCATTCAACCTTATATATAATATACACACATAAATAATAAAAGAATTTCAACATATAATTTGCTAAAATAATAAATAAACGATCTAAAATTTCAGAAATATAAATAAATTTTATGGAAGAAAAATAAAAATATATCCTTCTATATATGCAAAAGTAATATTTTGCATAACGCATGCCATATATATTTCACAATTGTTTTAGTAGAAACATTCATAATTTGAAATTATCAGAAGGATGGCAAGCTGAATTCAGCAAAACACAATTTATATTTTAGAACATATATCACATTCAAATTTTAGAGACTCTCTATGCGACAATTTTAGTACATAAGAATATTATAATAAATGGCAATAAAATCATCATCATAGCTTTTTTCCAATTAATTGGGGTCGGCTACATGAATCCTAGTCCGCCATTTCATTCTATTAAAGGTCATACCCTCAGTGAGGCCATAAGTCCCCATATCTTTTCAGATTACTTCTACCCATGTCCTTTTAGGCCTACCCTTTACCCTTTTCAGTCCTTCTACTTGAACTAACTCGCACCTCCTAACAGGTGTTGTACTTGGTCTGTGCCATATATGGCCAGCCCACCTAAGTCCACTCTATCTCATCTTATCACCTATTGGTGTCACACCTAAATTCTCCCAAATGGATTCATCTCAAATGCTATCCCTTCTTGTCTTGCCACTCAACCATCTCACCATCATCATCTCCGTTACACTCATTCTATGGGTATATTGTTTTATGTCCGCCCAACTTTCTGCCTCATAGAGAAAAACTGGTCTCACAACTGTCCTATAGAACTTGGCCTTCTACTTTATGTCCGCCTAACATTCCAGTTGCACATCTCTACTTCGCCCACCTACTTCTAATTCTGTGTGCGACATCTTCCTCAATCTCTCCATTTTTCTGTATTAGCAACCCAAGATAAATAAATACATAAATATTATATTTTATTACATTTTACTATTTGATAAGAGAGTTCTTTTATTTTGAGTCATAATATTTAAATAGTTTGACTTCTATGCTCTAATAGTCCATCACTTAGTTTAACTATTATATATATAAAATGTTGTTCATTTAACATGAGATTTCCTTATAGTGATTGCAAGAAGCAGGCCGCTTCAACACGTCCCATGTTCCAAACTAGCCCTTGGCTTTCATTTTTGAAAATGCAATCCTATAACGTTCAAAAAAAGTTTAATCACATGAAAAAAACAACCCTCACAAGGATTTGATCTCAATACCATTTGGGTCAAGAATATCCGTGCTACTATTTGGCCATGAGCTTCCTAATAGACAACCTTTGAGTATTCGTGAGATTATTTGGGGTTGGTCACTATCACAAAAGTGAATATGGCAAGGACCAAGCTCCCGAGGGTTGGGCTTTGAACATATCAAAGCTCGACCCTTTGCAAGGAGAATGAGTTACAGTACAGACTTTTTACCCGAAAAATATCTCAATCTACCTCTTTGCATGGGGAAACCCAAGAAGGACAAAGGGAATGGCATAGTGCGGAAGTTTGAAAGATGGTTAGCTACCAAGAAAGTTTGTACCCTCTCCTTCAGAGGTCGAAACAACTTGATAAAAGCCACTTTAGCTGAATACCCATCTATCAAATGTTCCTCTTCTGCATGTTGATGAGCAAAGTCTATAAATTGGAATGGTTAATGCTGAATTTCCTCTGGACGCTACTCACAAAATACATCTGGTGAGTGTTAACTTGACAAAAAGGTGGTCTGGGGATCTGAGAATTCAAGACGCAATTGTCACACAGAGGCGCACAATTGGGGGTGGTCGTCGTACACCATCCATCAGATGCCATAAGGAAATTTACGTAAATTGCCCTGCCCTTATGTAATGGCTATAGAGAGAGAGAATATAGCACAGTCAAGGGCCTTGCATCGCAATGTTTGCATTCGAATGGTAAAAAAAGAAGAAGTATTCAATTCAGCTGCTGCTTCTGCTAATAAAATTGTGTTGCACACAAAAATTGCTCCTATAACCAATCATATTACATGCAGAGAAGAACAGAGCAGAGGAGGCAGAGAAATCAAGTAAAGTAGCAAACTGAAAAGTCTTTCATTACATTGTTTTCTTGCTTCGAGAAAAATCAAATCATAATAATCAAACTACTTCATGCAATGCAAGGAGGAATTCTATTCAAAAATGATTTACAGTAAAAAATGGTGCGACTGCAATTCCATACTACATACACAGAAGAGAGAGAGAGAGAGAGAGGGTTGTTGCTTCTTCATACTAAGGCAAATGGATTATAGAAAAGAATGACCATATTTCATACTACAGGTCTCTATGAATTGAAGGATATGGATTTCAGAATCCAAAGATTTCCTTATTCATATCAAACAAAGGGTCACAGTCGAACTGTCTTGCACATGGTAGAAAAAGTTAGGATCAAAATGGGGAATCGAAATAGGGTTCTTGACGCACGTCTGGTTGGTCATTTCGCCCTGCCCCTGTTGCTTCCTCCAATTGATGCGTGACGACGTCCGGCTCACTAGTTGAGCATTTCTGTTCCAATTGCAGGTTCCGGAGCAAATCCAAAAGCTCCACCTCTCTCCTTGCTTCCTCTAACATATCCACCAAACCCTGACGCTGAGCTTCTGAGTGCTCGAAAATCCTCTCTAACTCAGGAATCATCGCAGCCATTCTCCATCCATTAACCGCTCCCTCAAAAGTGAAGAATGTTCTGCACAACACAAGGAGGAAAATCATAATCGTAATCAAACTACTACTTCATGCAATGCAAGGAGGAATTCAACTCAAAATGGGTTACACTGAAAAATGGTGCTGCTGCTATTCATACTACATGCACAGAAGACAGAGAGAGAGAGAGGGTTGTTGCTTCTTCATACAAGGCAAATGGATTACAGAAAAGAATGGCCCTATTTCGTACTACAGAAACAGGGGGGTGGTCTCTATGAATGGAAGGATACGGATTTCAGAATCAAAAGATTTCCTTATTCATATCAAACAAAGAGTCACAGTCGAACTCTCTTGCACATAGTAGAAAGAGCTAGGATCAAAATGGGGAATCGAAATAGGGTTCTTGAGGCTCAGGTTGGCACCTCCCACGTCTGTTTGGTCATCGAACCCTGCCCCTGTTGCTTCCTCCAATTGACTCTGCAGTTCCTCGTTCCAGAGGATCTCCACCCTAGTGATTAAGCATTGGTGCTCCAATTGATGCTGAAGCTCCTCGTTCCTCTTCGTGAGGACCGCCAGCTCCTTGGTTAAGCGTCTGTTCTCCAATTGACTCTGAAGCTCCTTGTTCCTCGTCGTGAGGACCTCCAGCTCCCTGGTTAAGCGTTCGTGCTCCAATTGACGCTGAAGCTCCTCGTTCGTCTTCGTGAGGACCTCCAGCTCGCTGGTTAAGCGTTGTTGGTCCAATTGACGCTGAAGCTCCTCGTTAGTCTTCGTGAGGACCTCCAGCTCCCTGCTTAAGCGTCCGTGCTCCAATTGACGCTGAAGCTCCTCGTTCCTCTTCGTGAGGACCTCCAGCTCGCTGGTTAAGCGTTGTGCTCCAATTGACGCTGAAGCTCCTCGTTCGTCTTCGTGAGGACCTCCATCTCAGTGGTTAAGCGTTCGTACTCCAATTGATGCTGAAGCTCCTCATTCCTCTTCGTGAGGACCTCCAGCTTGCTGGTTAAGCATTCGTACTCCAATTGCAGGCTACCAAGAAAATCCGAGACGTCAACCTCTCTCCTTCCTTCCTCGAAGGTATCAACGAATATGACCAAACCCTGACGCTGAGCTTCTGAGTACTTGAAAATCCTCTCTGATTCAGGAAACATGGCAGCCATAATCCTTTCGATACCCACTGTTACTTCAATTTCTTGATTCTTTGCCTCCTCTTGCTCTTTGTGTGCCCCTGTTTTATCAATTTCTTGACTCTTGGCCTCCTCTTGCTCTTTCTGTGCCCCTGTTACTTCAATTTCTTGATTCTTTGCCACCTCTTGCTCTTTTTGTGCCCCTCTTACTTCAGTTTTGTGATTCTTTGCCTGATGTTGCTCTTTCTGCGCCCCTGTTTCATCAATTACTGGATTCTTGGCATCCTCTTGCGCCCCTGTTTCATCAATTACTGGATTCTCTTGCGCCCCTGTTTCATCAATTTCTGGATTCTTGGCATCCTCTTGCGCCCCTGTTTCATTAATTTCTGGATTCTTGGCATCCTCTTGCGCCCCTGTTTCATCAATTTCTTGATTCTTGGCTTCCTCTTGCTCTTTCTGTGCCCCTGTTACTTCAGTTCCCTGATTCTTGGCCTGATCTTCCTCGAACGAGGCTTCCGGGGGGTCAGGAACCCTCAGCGGAGGGACCGTCGCCATGACTAGAGACTGAGAGAAAGAAAACGGGAGGGGCGGGGAAAGGAGGGAGAAAACGTATACATAGGTGTGGTTGGTTCATAAGCGGTTGGTTGTTGGGTGAGCTGGACGTTACACCTCATCACCGCTCACTCTCTCTCTCTCTCTACTTCTTTGCACACCTCTCTCTGCTTTCCACGCATGCGCAAAGCAATAGAGAGAGAAAAAACATGGGGAGGGGCTTCTTTTTCATACTAGAGAGAGAAAGTGGCGGAGGTTTTTGCAGATTGAGATATGGGGTTCCATCTTTTAGAGAGAGACGGAGGATGGCAGATAAAGAGTGTTTTATTGTATTGTGGTCATGGAGGGTTTAGAGAGAGAATCGACTGGAAGTTTTTTATTTATTTTTCCCTCTCGGGGATGGATTCTATTTTGTTGGTCCCTCATAACAGTCCTCATGGTGAGGATGAGGGAACACCTGGGCATACATTACAAAACTTGAGTCTTTGGTGGTAATAAGTGTCGAGAGGATCGAAGATGCCCACCTTTTTACTATCAATGTCTATAAAATTTGGGAGATGCTCAGCCCGTCCCTCCTTATTTTATTTTACTTGCTCTAAAGTTTGGAGCATTCCTCAAGTGTAGCGTGCTGCCAGAATTGGGTTGAATTGTTTTATCTCAGAGTGACTTACGCACAAAATTTTGAAAAAATTGAAATGAAGATAGGCCAATCCGCATTTTTTCTTATGTTTTCTAAAATTGCCCTCCCGTATGAGGATGCCATCCTCATAATCCATTCTATTTTATTTTTTTAGTTTTTTTCGTTAATGTGCCTCGGACCGCTTTTGGTTTCTTGAGCGGTCCGAGGTTCCCATCCTTGGACAGTGGTCCGAGATCGCCATCCTCAGAATGCACTATATATGCCTTTTTTGTTTGAGAAAAAATAGTAGTCCAAAGATGGGAACCGCAAACCGCTCTCTGGACTGAACACAACTCAATTCCAGGGCGGTCTGAGGTCCCCATCTTCATACTGCTCTTTATTTCTTATTTTTTGAGATAAACAATAATCCGAGGATAGGGACCTCAGACTGCTCAGCATCGATCCAACTATTCTAACCTCGGACCACCTGGGCATTTCCCTATTAACGAAAAAACTTTGCCCTACTAACGAAAAATAAAAAAAAATTAAAATGAGGATTGAATATGGCATCCTCGAACCAAAAGATAATTTTAGAAAAAAATAAAAAAATACAAGATGACCGACTTTCCTTGTAATTTCGGTCTCTAAACACAACATTGTATATTTTAGTTTAAGTTTTCGAGTCCGCACGCAAATCACTTTATCTTTCCACTTCTATGTCAATATGGTTTCTCATGCCAATGTTCTTTTCACTTCTATGTCAATATAGTTTCTCATGCTCATGTTTCAAAATCTGCACCGGTGGAGAAGATCATTCCACCATAGATCTATGTCAGATTGTTGGATCAGCAATCAAGATTGGGTCTGAATCACTCCAAAATAGTGATCCAAAAAATATTGAAGATTAAATAGAATAAAAACAATTACAATAAACGTTTATACGGTAGGGATTTAAAGGGGACTTAAAAAAAATTAGAAAACTTAAAAACATATATATATATATATAAGGATGCAACCTTATAATGTAGAACAACGGATGCACCTCAAAAATCCATTAAAAAGGTAGTTTTAATGTTAAAAAACCCTATGATTGATCATCTTGACATCAAGATGTATGACTATGAAAAATAAAAAGATTTTAAGTCTCAAAAATAGTGCATTTTGCAACATATTACCTACATTTCCAAAACTATCATATGTTTATAGATCTCATTGATTTTAACTATTTTTGAAATTTAAAATTTTATAATTAGATATAAAAATAGATTTTGAGATAATCCTAAGAATATTTTACTTCAAAATTATATACCATGATAAAATTTGAAGGTGCACCTTACCTCTACAACTACAGCTACAGATGCATCCGTATGCAAACTGTACGCATATATATATATATATATATATATATATATATATAGTAGGTAGTAGTTAGTTTAGTTACGTCCGTACCTACGTACGTCGTACGTACCGTACTACGTAACGTAAACCGTACCAACGTACGGTACCGTACCGTAGTAGTAACTACGTTCGG